CCCCCCCCCCCCCCCGATAAGTTGTCGCGCTCTTGTTGACAGGCCTACAGCGCGACGAAACGTTTAGCCAAAACGTGGTCCTGGTTGGTCCGCGTATCGACCGTTGCTTGCAGTTGTTATGTCTGCCCTATATGTCTTGCCGATCTTGCCTAAGAACCCCTCCTCTGGGTCACGCAAAAAAGGCGTTATTCTTATTCTGAAGCATATGCCATGCTAAAACAATAGACGAACGCAAGCGTGTTCGAAATCTTTTCACCTGGTCGTCCTTGTTCTGTACCACGAGGTCCGCCATGACGTCGAGGAACCTCTTCATACCCGCAACGTTCCGCGCGCGGAACACGATGAACCCCATGCAGAGGGTCGAGCCCCACTCCTTCGACTGCTCGTTCGGCCAGCTGCCGCGCGAGGCTATGATGTCTCCCCTGCCACCGCCGCCTCTGCTGAACAGGTCTTTTGCCGGGTCGGCGAGCCAGAGGGCATCCGCGTCGCTCATGATCACGTCCACGTGCCCGACCTCAAGGAGGCATGAAACTACCTTTACCCTGAGAAAAAAGGAATATTTCGAAGGCAGGGTAGAGTTAGAAGGCTGTTGAGTCCCGGAGAATGAGCGGCAAGTTAAAAAAACGAGCGCAGGAAGTGAGGACAGTTGTGTGGAGGGAAGAGACAAACGAGGAGCGGAGATGATTCAAACCTGTGTGAGCCGGAGAGATATATGTACCCAGAGATAGATAGATAGATAGAGAGAGAGAGAGAGAGAGATGCACAGGCAAACAGACAGGCAAAGAGACAGACAATAATCCAATGCCTGACCCAAACCTGGTACCTTACTACCCGTGCACAGAAAAGCTACTTATCATTTTACTACCTGAGTTGCCATATGTCTTGATGCGTGGGCAGGTCCAATGCGCTCATAGGTACGCAGCGAATCCCCATTTTCGCGTCGAAAAAGTTCTTGGATGCACCGTCCATGCACATGAGGTAGATGTTGCTGCGTGTGAAGCCCGAGTTCCTCTCCATCAGCCGGATGAAGTTCCGCTCGATATCAATATAGCCCTCGCTCACCACCTACACGCAAATAGCAAGTTTGGTGAGGCAGATATAGCCGATGTAGACTACTGTTTATTGAAACGGTCGAATTTGCCAGAGGCGTTATTGTTCCTGTATTTCGGGGTATCAGGTTGAGAAGAGTCCTTTTGGGATGGTCACTTTATCGGAGAGTTCACGTGCAGGAGAAGGCTCGCTGGACAGCGTGGAATAGCAGATTTATACAACAGCAGTACGTGAACTCAGAGAGGGATAGCAAGGATTGGCCAGATTGGGAGGCCAAGAAGTTGCGTTCTTCGTTTTCTCTCTGCGAGCGGGGGCTTGGACGGAGCCCGGGCACGCGCGCGTTTCATCCTTCCAGACGTCATCAACGGGGGCAGAGGCAGGGCGAACTCACCGGTACGGTCATGATGTTTGTTGAGGGAGCGATAGGCGGGGTATGACAAAGCCCTGCTAAGATGATGGCTCACGACTAATGATGACGGGTCACTTGTTGGTGTCCCTGTTGTTCTTGGGCGGTGCCTACACTGCTGTGTACACACACCAAGGTAGAGAAAACACAGTTGTTGCGGTTTGGACGGTGGTGTCACCAGACGCATAACCACAAGGGTACTGGCTCGAATTGCAGCACGCCTGCGTACACGCGCATGGGATGCAATTTGCCGCTGCGAGGTCACGAATGTCCTCCGCAGCCGTCGGTCCGTGACCGAAGCGCAGTGCGCCGCCCACCCACAGGAGTAGCCATGCGCCACAACAATTTGTGCAAAGAAAGAGTCACATACGAAAGGAGACACTGGTTCAAATTGCAGCGCCGGCGCGTCCACGCGCAAGCGATGCAATTTGCCGCTGCGAAGCCGTAAAACGTCCATCGCAGCTGTCGGTCCTTGACCGAAGCGCAGTAGCACATCCATAGGTATCGCCGCTGAACAATATTTTCGCATACGTGTACAGCTATGTACAGCAATGCAGTGTATGCGAAAACATTGCCGCCAAGCACGCGGGCTCGCAACCCGCTTGGCTGTTGACAATAGTCGAAGAGCAGCGGGGCTGATACGGTTACCACCAGAATACGAGCTACTGATTCAAACGTGCACACGAGTGCCGTTTGCCGCTGTGGTGCGCATAATCACCACAGCTGTCGGCCATGGGCTGAGCAGCAGTAGCAGACGTAGGTAGTGCCGCTGAACAAAATTTTTTTTGCTAACAAGAAAATTTTTGCCGCCAAGCACACGAGGGATTGCCACCCCGCTTGGCTGTCGACAGCAGTAGCAGTCGAAGAGCAGCGGGGCTACTACGATTACAACTAGACGTCGGGGAGCTACTGATTTAGTGTCGTTGGCCGCCGTGTTGCGCATAATCGCCACGGCCGTCGGCCATGGGCTGAGCAGCAGTGGCACAGAATACGATGCGTTCCACTGAGAGAAACAAAAAGGGGTTGTTGCATGCATTTGAATTGGTATACAGAGTAGTCTCGACCATTTCAGTCGACCGGTCATAAATCCTGGCCACAGCCACGAATCTCGGAAAAATTGTTTTTCACGTACGTACTGCCCGTGACGGCACCCACCAGACACGGTGATAGACAATGACACGATTGTGAGATCGACGAACACTAAACGGAAAAAAAATATATATATATATACGTAATGAAAGAAAAACAATGAAAAGGTGGAGAAACGACGTGGTGCGGGTCTCGAACCCGCAACCTCTAGTGCTGGACGTGGGCGCTTGAACGTGTGGTCTACAAATTTGTTGATGCCTTGGGAAGGTGAAATACGAGCCTCTATAATGGAGGTAGTTGCTACGATCGTTCCTTGCAATCGTTTTGTCAATTCATTTACTCCTTGGGTCATGGGTCCTGGACGGGGTCGTTGCACCAGCTGCGTTTGGAAACTGCGCTAGGTCATCGTCATGTCATGCACTACCGCGGGAGTGTGCACGCCACATCACACAGCTATGATGCCGAAAGCCAGCACCCCAAGCTGTCTTTGAAAGAGCATTACGCACACCACTCAACCCAGACACGGCCTGCACAGGCAGCCGCATTCTCTAGCTAGGGAGGTCAACCAAAGAGGACCGCGATCCACATACAGGGTTTTTTTTTTTTTGGACCAACCTAGCCACGAAGTTTGCCATTGCGATGTACACATCGACGTGATTCCGCAACGGTCGGCGCTCGCCGGGCAGCAGTAGCTACCGCCCAAGATAGGAGTACACTTTCAACTCGTTTGTTGCCTTCGTTTTCGCCTTGGTGTGTCGGGACGCAACAGATGCCACCCGCGACGAGGTCTAGGTCTGGTGGGACGCCGGCGGGGCGGGGTCGGGGGCGCGTTGCTCCTAGATCCACCAGTGTTACGGCACGACGAACGCCGACTCGGGGTCGGACGCGATCGGCGGCGCCGTTACGCAGCAGCGGGGCGAGCGCCGCTGACATGGCCGAAATGCGCGAAGCGCTGGCGGCAATGAAAGCGAGCTTGGACGCTGCGAATGGTCAGGTTCGCCAGTTACAGGCGGAGAAGGAAGATCGCGAGGCGGCGGCGGCGGGGGCGGCGGCGGCTGGTGAGCCGCCATCGACCGGGGGCGGGCAAACACCGGCCGGAGACTCGCTGCCGGCCGAGAGTGCGACGCCGGCCGCATACCTGGACCTGACGCGCTCGGCACCGCCCATGTCCATGGTGCACGTACAGAACGCTCGGGCCAAGGAATCCTTAGCGGCATGGCACAACCTCTCCATAATGAAAGTATGGATGCTGATGGGCGAACGGCCCACGGTCGCAAACCTCAAGCTCATCGACATGCAGTCGTTGATGCAGGATGCGGTGCGGGTGACCGCGGGGGTGCTCGAGCAGCTCAATGCTATGTCGGGTTTTCGCGTACGGATGTACATCGCGGAGAGTGACGATCCGAACCTTACCAGCACCAACCTGGTGGAACACATGGAGACGCTGGTGTACGCCATCATGAAAGTCCTGAAGGTTGGGATCGGGTCGGAGGACGGGCAAACGCGCCTAGAGCTACTTCGTCAGCAGCTTCAGGAAGGCGTTGAGATGGTCCGCGCCCACTGTCGCCAACACCGTTCGAAGATGCACGATGCTGCCACATTTAAAGTGATGGCGGACATGGTCGACGAGGACTTAGGAAACTGGACGTCGACGTGGTTTACCAGGGCTCTGGCGTTTAGAAAGCAATACCCGACACCGCCGCACATCGAGTCCATGCCACCGGTGGTGGGGCCTCAGTGGAACGTCACCGGCAATTTCATCGCTTCTGGAGGACTGCGCAACATCGTCATCCGCAGCCACCATTCGCTCATGTCTCCCACCAAGCGTCCCCGCCCGGGGAATTCTGGCGACCGTCGGTGTTTCATGGAGGATAGACCGGGGGGATGTACACGCCGGAACTGTCCGTGGGACCATGTCAAGAAACCCAACCGCCGCACGAGCACTGGGCGTACAGACGCGGGCGGGGGGCGGGCTCGGGACACGGGCAGGGGCGGGGGAGAGCCGGGTGGAGCTGCTGGCGGCGAAGGACGTCGCGGTGGCCGCGGGGGCGGAAGCGGCGAAAGCGGCGGCCGCGGCGGAGGGGGCCGAGGCAGCGGCGGCGGTGCTACCCGCCGTGGCGGAGCATCTTCTAGCCCATAGGGGTACGGGCTCTGCCATGCGGCGGGGCCAACCTCTACCAGCCAGCAGCGCGCGTCTCCGGCACGGGAGGAGGCGCACGAAGGGACGAGGTTGACGCCCGGCCGGCAGACAGGTGCGGTTGAGAGGTTGCGGGCGTGCGAGGTAGCCTTGCACGAATTGTCCCACGCCACAGACTCTCAATCCACCCGGGCAGCAATTGATACGGTTGCAGCAAAGAGCATGAGATTTTTGGAAACACATGATGGCCGGTTTGAGTGCATGCTTGAAACTCTGCGAACGCTTCCCATCCCGCGAGTAGACGTAGAGGACGTCCGGCATTGGTTCGGAAAGGTGAAGGCGTTCCCACACATTGATCTGTTGGTGAAAATAATCAGTGAGGGAGCTCCGGTGGCAGTGACCGGGGCCGGGGATTTACGGGCCGCGATCGAGTACGGGAACCACAATTCAGTGCAGGGTTTTTCGCCGGAAATAGTGTCCAAAATTCGGGAGGATGTGCTGACGGGGCGGGCGTTTGTGTTTCCTCGGGAGGCGGCCGCGCAAATCGTGGGCACTCGCGTGTCGCCAATGACGGTGGCAGTTTCCACATCAAAAGTTCGGATATGCCACGATTTATCTAACGCTGTTTCCGGGCGGGGGGTCAATCAAGATACCGATACCTCGGCGATTCCGGAATGTAAGATAGGATATGTCCTTCGAGATGTGTTGTGGCGGATTTTGTATTTGCATGGTACAGCTGTGGCGAAAGCGCCCGGCACTCCTCCTCGAATCCTGCTTGCAAAGATGGACACTAAGAATGCGTTCCGACAGGTGTCTGTTGACGTAAAGGAGTCCCCCAAGTTCAGCTACGTATTCGAGGATCTCGTAATTGTAGACCGATGTCTCCAGTTTGGGTGGACCAGCTCCCCGGCCCTGTGGGGCGTGTGTGCTTCTGCCGTAGAACACGCGCACAACAACACGACTGTCACGTCGGCCGTGATCACTTCGGAAGGTCGGGACGCCACTAGTCATGTTTGCGTAGAGCCGCGGCGAGAGAACGAAGTGCGCGGGAGGTTGCCGCCAGAGTACGTGTTTCCTCGGGATTCTGGGGGGATGATCCGAAACAACTTCTGGGTGCGCACCTACGTAGACGACGCGTTATTCGTAGAGCTTGAGAGTTTCTTGGAGGGGAGGCGATGCCTGCGCGCGACGCGCTCCTTTGCGTCTGATAGCTTTCGATTGTTCGGTACCCGCAATTCGGGAGAGCCTCCCCTGTTTGCTAGGGAGAAAACCACGTCGTGGGATACGCGCATGGAAATGCTAGGATGGGTGATAGATACTGTGGCGTTGACGATCTCGGTGTCGCAAGAGAAGGTTGCGAAAATGCGGGCGATGTTGGCGGAGTGGCCGGTAGAGAGAAGGGTAGCCACTGTGACGGAGGTGCGGTCGCTCTTGGGCAAGCTGCTGCACTTATGCGAAGTAGTGAGACCGGGAAAGTTTTTCGTACGCCGCATTTTGAACCAGTTGGGGTTACCACCGATGAAAGCAGGGGGAGATGCGGGTACCGGCGTTATGGTAGGAGGAAAACACCGACGCGGACGCGTTCGGCTGGGCCGCGAGTTCCACGAAGACTTGGCCTTTTGGAGGAAAGTCATGGCCATGGCCACAGGGCCGGACGGTATCGTGAAGTTAGAGGCGCCCTTGCTCTGCTCCTTTTTACAGGCGCCGTCTCGAACGCTTGTTAGCGATGCTAGTGGGGACGGCATGGGCGGATTTTGCTTAGAGTCTGGTCAGTGGTGGCGGATTGATTTTACGGATGATATTCGGGCGCGCCTTCGCAACCGGGTATTTTCTCGAGACGATTTGTCGATGAACGTGTTTGAGCTGCTGGGCATGGTAGTCACGGCATGGGCGTTGACAGTGCAGGCTGGGGTTAAGCCAGAGTACCCGGGGCAGAGCATCTTGATGAGAGGAGATAACATGAGTGCTGTCCACTGGGTGAACAAGTGTCGGGGAGCAAAGGAACCCAGGTCGGGTACATTGATGCGGATGCTCGGGTGTTTGGAAATGAGGAGCGAGTGGCGTTTTAGGGCGAAGCACATCAAGGGCGTGGCCAACACGTTGGCTGATGGTATCTCGCGATGGAAGCACGACGAAATCGCCTCTAACTTGCACTCGTATCGGCCCGACATCCGTTGGCAGGAGCAGCATCTAGGACAGGAAGCGTTGGACATCACTTTCGCGGTCTTGGCATCAAGCTCATCGGAGGATCAGTTGCGAACTCGTCTCAACGATGTTACGCGTCAGGTTTCCGGTCTTGGTGCGTCTTTCGTAGCATGATGGGGCTGGAGAAATTCTTTCGAAGTGATGCTTCCCCCAGATATATGGTGTGGGCTTTGATCGACTTTGCTGCTTGGTGTTTCGAGTCCGAAGGAAACTTAGCGCGTACCATTTCAGGAAAACTTGCGGCAGTACAATACTACCACAGGGTAGAGGCACAAGTGGAGATCGTTACGTCCTCCCCGGTGATTAAGTGTGCGTTGAAGGGCATCGCTAGGTCTCACGTAGAAGCGGGCACGGGCCAACGAGTGCGCCTCCCTGTCACGTGGAGGATGTTGTTGGATGGTGAGAGCTTGATTCCAGCGTGGGGAACCGGGGGACGGGTGTTGTGGCTGTGTTTAAGCCTCAGCTATTTTTTGCTGACCCGATCAGACGAGATGTTTGCAGGTAGCTCAGGGGTAGCCCATCCTGTACACTGTCTCACGAGAAAGGATGTTGCGTTCTTCTCCGGGGAAACCCAGCTGGAGTTCGTTCACTGGCGGCAAGCAGATAAGATGGAGGTACATTTCAGGGGACACAAGGGAGATCAGGACCAGAATGGAGAAGTAAGGGCTCGTACACGAGACGAGACTAGTGGCACGCAGTCGGGGTACCGAGCCAACGGGGGAGCCGTGGCTCTGATGGTGGAATTGATGTCTTGTCATGCGACGCTGCCCGACGACGCGCCACTATCCTCGTACCGTAGCGGTCGTAAAGTCAAAGTGTTGAGGTACGGCGAGGCTTTGAGGGCATTCAGAGAGGTAGTCAAGAAGTCAGGGCGTGAACCAAAAGACTTTGCATTGCACTCCCTTCGGATTGGGGGGGCCTCCACCCTGGCGGCTGGGGGGGAGGTTTCGGAACGAGCAATCCAGAGGGCGGGCAGGTGGAAGTCAGACGCGTACAAGCCATACACAGTAAACAATGTGGAAGATTCGCGACGGGTGTCCCGTATTCTAGGCGATAAGGAAAAGGGAGTGGCGAGGCAGCCGGGGGAGAACACGGTGTGGGGTAGCGGGAAAAGGAGACGGTGTTCCACTGTAGTGAGATTCTCATGACGACCTCGGAATGGGTAGAGTAAATGGTAGAGTACCATTTGGGAACTTGGTCGTCTGAGATGTTCCGTACAGTAGGAAGAGTTCCCCACACCGGTGGAATGAGAAACCCCGGGCTGTTTTCTTTGGGAAGAGAGAGAGACAGTAGAATGAATGGACAGAGACACGGTAGGACAGGCGCAGAGGGCGTCTACAGGAATCGTGTTCTGTCGGCGTGGTTTCTCTCTCTTCCCCGCGTGTGAAGAGAAAACATTAATGCAAAAAGGCAATTCGAAAGAAAAACAATAAATAGCAAGTTTGGTGAGGCAGATATAGCCGATGTAGACTACTGTTTATTGAAACGGTCGAATTTGCCAGAGGCGTTATTGTTCCTGTATTTCGGGGTATCAGGTTGAGAAGAGTCCTTTTGGGATGGTCACTTTATCGGAGAGTTCACGTGCAGGAGAAGGCTCGCTGGACAGCGTGGAATAGCAGATTTATACAACAGCAGTACGTGAACTCAGAGAGGGATAGCAAGGATTGGCCAGATTGGGAGGCCAAGAAGTTGCGTTCTTTCCCGCCCACCCACCCTTTTTCTTTCGAAGGTGAGGGAACGGAAGGAATGCAACGGGTAGAGTAAATGGTAGAGTACCATTTGGGAACTTGGTCGTCTGAGATGTTCCGTACAGTAGGAAGAGTTCCCCACACCGGTGGAATGAGAAACCCCGGGCTGTTTTCTTTGGGAAGAGAGAGAGACAGTAGAATGAATGGACAGAGACACGGTAGGACAGGCGCAGAGGGCGTCTACAGGAATCGTGTTCTGTCGGCGTGGTTTCTCTCTCTTCCCCGCGTGTGAAGAGAAAACATTAATGCAAAAAGGCAATTCGAAAGAAAAACAATAAACAGACGTGGTTTTGATGTAGGAAACTCAAAAAACAAAACTCTGTATAAATGGTTGATGCCATCATCACACTCGACCCGCCACTACCGCTGATGTGGCACCAGCACGGGGTTTGCAGTGAATACGAGGGGCGGTTTGCTGGTATTGCTGGGTGCCACCCGCTGCAACAACCCGTTGCCTCAAATGAACACGTGCCTGCTGAAACAAGCGTTCTTGTTCTAACGAGCTGTGTCGGGCAGGTGATGAGATCATTTCATATTGCCTCCGCTTGCCCAGACTACGCTGCCAAGGGAACGGGGGGGGAGGTGATATCCAACAACGACAGCAGCGCATACTGGGTATGTATGTGATCTACCTGCATCACCACGGCCGGTTGCGATCGCGGAGGTACCCACGCTGCCCAGTCCACACAGGTGGCATCCTTCGTAATCGCCGGCAGTGTTTCCAAGTCGTGGATTTCTGGAGCGGTATACTCGGTCAACGCTTCCGGCAGCTCGGCCGACACAAACATAACCATTGCCACTTTGGCGAGGTAGCGACACGCCGTCGCCGCTAGCCTCCTCTTTCTCCGAGGCTGTGGTTGTGCTGACGGCGGTGATGGTGGTGATGGTGGTGATGGTGACGGCCTCATCATCGTTTTTTCGGGGGCGGAAGAGCCGTACCCGTCCTGTCCGTGGCTGTCGGTGTGTTGTTACCCGTCACCCCCTTCTCTCTTTTCCCCTTTTTTCTCTCTCTCCCTCTGCCCCCCCCCCGCTTTCCCTCCTTCGGCCCAGCAGTCGCCGGAGTCGCCACGAATGATGTAGGAGGCGTTCGATGTCGTTTACTGACGAAAACCGCGGCGTTGCTAAACGCGTAGCATCTGCTGCGGAACTGGGGAGGGGGGGGG